ATCTATCTACCACCTACCTGCCTGCCTGCCTGCCTGCCTGCCTGCCTACCTACCTACCTACCTACCTACCTATCTAGGTAAAAGAAAAAAGCCTAAGAAAAAAGTACAGTGGAGGCTCGACTTACAGTCGGCTCCACTTACATACTTTTCAACCTACGTACTTCTACAATTGCAAAGTTTCGCTTCAACTTGCGGCCGGAGAATTGACCTACGGACGAGAAGGGGGAGGCGGGGAAAGCACCAAATTCAAATTTGGCACTTTCCCCGCCTCCCCTTTCCAGTCCATAAGCTGTAGATCTTGTCTCTGGATGCCTTCCAGGGCCCCCCCAGGAGGTCTCTGATGGTGGCGGGAAAGCTCCCAGGGCTTCCCCCCGATAGGCCCATTCTGCTCGCCGGGAAAGCCTAGTAGACCAGGCCTACCAGGGGACACCCTCCCAGGTTCCCCTCACTGACACAGGCTTTCCCAGGGAGTAGACCGGGCCTACTGGGGGAAGGCTTCCCCCGGTAGGCCCGGTCTACTCTCTGGGAAAGCCTGCATCGGTGGTGGTGGGGGAACCTCTGAGAGGCCTCCGGCAGTGGCGAGAAGCCCTTGGAGGCCTCGGGCAGCGGTGATGGTGGCGACGGGAGACCCTTGGAAGGCTTCAGAAAGGTAAGTTTAATTTTTATTAATTTTTTTTGGGGGGGGTTCTTGGGCCAGATATGGATTCAGAAAATGGTTTTCAATGCATTCCTATGGGGAACGCATTTTCGACTTGAGGACTTTTCGACCTAAGGACCCCGTTCAAATACGGATTAATTCCGTAGGTCAAGACCTCACTGTATCTTTACATACATTACCAGAAGTGGCCACTAGAGGGAATCCATACTACTTAGTCTTCACTAACAATTATTCGTAGCACAGTCTCTGGCTCCCTCTAGTGGTTGGTTGTGAAAAAATTCTGGATTTTTCTTTTTTTCTTTTAATATTTTCAGGCCATGGATAAGTGAAATTCTTTGCTTTTGCTTTGAAATTGTGGATTTTGATCCCACAGATACAGGGGTGCTACTGTAATGGGGGGGGAGTTCAACTCTATCTCCTGGGGAATGGTTACATATAGCATGGAATCTAACCTATCTGGGGAAACTAATCAATTTAATAAGAATTGGAGCAGATAGGCAGCACAACAATAAATGTTACAGAACAAACAGTTTGTATAGGTCCGTGGTATCCAGAGGAGATGAGTTCCAAGTGAAGATGTAAATCTATATGTGCTTCTTATTCAGTCTATGCTATTAATAAATATCAACACAACAGCTGAAATTTGTTTATTACTGCTACACTTTTTATTTCTCAGCATTGCTGGTGTTTGAGGGAGGACCAAAGACTCAAGCCTAAATATTAGGCGTCAAGTCCTAAAGGTCTTTGTTTGCAAAATTACTGATGTTTGCATTTCAGGATGAAATTAACAGATATTGGCACTTGTTTCAAATAGGTAATCCACGATTCTGGAATGACTCCAGTTGCTGAAATTAGTCTAGAGAGGAAGCTAGCCTGATCATGCTTCCAAATTCTTTAAATTTCTTCCCTAAATGTTTGGTACTTTGCCATTTTTGTATTTTCTGCATTTCTGAGGATGCTTGTTGATGGCATTCCTATTTCTAAAAGCCACATTTGTTGTTACTGTTGGTGGTGGTGTTATGATATATTTAATTTAGTTATTCTGATATTTGGTTTATATAAATTATATAATTCATATTTTTTCTCTATCTATCTATCTATCTATCTATCTATCTATCTATCTATCTATCTATCTATCTATCTATCTATCTATGATAGGCTACACAAGCAATGATACAGTTTTAACAATAAAAAAGATATTTCTTTCTTGTTTGCTAAAAGACCTATGCCAGGTGTGGAGAACATATAGCCTCCACATGTTGTGAGACCACAATTCCCATGAGTTTCAACTAGCAGAACCAGCGGTGAGAGCAGAGGACAGCTGAAGTCTAAGAACACCTGGTGGGCCACCTATTCCTTCTTCCTACTCTATGTGTTTCTGTGAAACACATAAGATCTACTGTTCATTATAACCAGAAGTATGCAAATTTGTGTTTTTGGATCACAGTTCTCAGAATTCCCCAGGCACTATGGGTTTCTGGGAGTTGTGGTTTAAAAGCAGAAATCGTTACACCTCTTCTTCAAATCAACAGATACAGTGGTGCCCCGCATAGCGACGTTAATCCATTCCGTTCCAAGATTAACGTCACTATCCGGAATCGATTAACAATAAAAAAGATATTTCTTTCTTGTTTGCTAAAAGACCTATGCCAGGTGTGGAGAACATATAGCCTCCACATGTTGTGAGACCACAATTCCCATGAGTTTCAACTAGCAGAACCAGCGGTGAGAGCAGAGGACAGCTGAAGTCTAAGAACACCTGGTGGGCCACCTATTCCTTCTTCCTACTCTATGTGTTTCTGTGAAACACATAAGATCTACTGTTCATTATAACCAGAAGTATGCAAATTTGTGTTTTTGGATCACAGTTCTCAGAATTCCCCAGGCACTATGGGTTTCTGGGAGTTGTGGTTTAAAAGCAGAAATCGTTACACCTCTTCTTCAAATCAACAGATACATCTCATTTGCTGTGAATTGACTAGCTAAGCAGGTACAAATGCAGAAGATCCAAGATGCCAGAAGGAGGTGAAATGAAAGAAGCACTACAATCTAGAGCAAGAAGCATGAAAATTCATGCTTGAATACTCGAGGTCATAACTGGCAATCCAAAAATAATATAAAAGACTAGCTAAGCAGGTACAAATGCAGAAGATCCAAGATGCCAGAAGGAGGTGAAATGAAAGAAGCACTACAATCTAGAGCAACAAGCATGAAAATTCAGAAAGTGTGAATACTCAAGGTCATAACTGGCAATCCAAAAATAATATAAAACTACAGTAGTAACAGCTGGGAACTATGAGATACAGTGATATTCCCAAATTCTGCAATTTGTGCAGCAATTAAAAAAAACATTTGTTTCATTAAAAAAAAATTTCTTGGTTTACTAGCCTGATAAAAACTATGGCAAAAATGCATGAGATATTTTCGGTTAGTATCAAAGTAGGAGGTTGCATCAGGCAGACAAGACATGATTGTAGAAGACAGATTACTCTAGGTTTCATTACAAAAGCTAGTGTATGATCTAGAAGTGGTGAAACAATGGAGTGAGAAACTGGGGCATTTCCTGGAGCGCCAGTGAACTTAGAAGTTGCTACTGACAGGATTAATTAGGGCTGTAAGGAAAGATGCTTCCCTCAGCTTTTGAAGAGTGGTTTAATTTAAAGATGGTTCTGTCAATTTGGCATGAGTAGGTTTCATCTGCCAAAATATGTTAACTGATCAAAAGTATCAAAAGCCCTTCATCAGGAGGGCTTTAAACTGAATTGGAAGGGGAGACACAAACTCAGAGGTAAAGATAAATTAAGGCCTATGCACAATAAGAGGAACAGACCAAGCAACTCTAGCCTGGCCCAATAATAACCTTCATAAAAATGTATGCTGGCAAGCAGGACACAAATCACACAGTCTCTGATGTCTCTATACGAATGCCAGGAGTATGGGAAACAAACAAATCTTGCCAGACTAATCTTAGCTCATTTTTTTGATCAGGTAACCTCCTTGATAGACGGTGGGAATGCTGTAGACATAATATATCTTGACTTCAGCAAAGCTTTTGACAAAGTGCCCCATAATCTTCTGATTAGCAAGCTAACTAGGTGTGGGCTGGATAAAGCAATTATCAGGTGGATACACAGTTACAGAATCATACTCAGAGAATGCTTATGAATGCTTCTTTGTCAAACTGGGAAGTAATAAGTGAGGTACCATGAGACTCAGCCCCAGGCTTTGATGAGAGGGAATCCCTGTCAAATATGCAGATGACACAAAATTGGGTGGGACAGTTAATGCCCTGGAAGATAGAAACACTTTTCAAAAAGATCTTGATAGGCTCAAGCACTGGACTGAAAATAAAATAATGAAATTTAACAGGGATAAATGCAAAGTTCTATACCTAGGGGGAAATCGCCCCCCCATATACAGTTACAAGCTGGGTGTACTTGATTCAGTAATACCAGTAATACTCTGTATTGTCTCCAAATCCCATGAAATACTAATTCCCTTCCCTCGGCACTGGATAGGCCTAATCTTG